CGAGAGAAGCAACAGTTTTTGAGATACTAGTCTTCTGTGATTTGTGCAATTTCTAAACATATACTTTAGTAACTAAGCCCAACAAATCGTCGGTCTCTGCACGTACAGGCGTAAATGACAAAAAAAACTAAAATTGAGTCTCTCACCTCATGAACTGACGTAACTGAATATCCTTTCGCTGCATGGAAATAAAATTCTTAAAAAATTGCGTAAGTGATAAAATTCTGAAAACGGTTTTCACGTACCGGTTAAATAGATCTACGCCTCTGCGTTAAACCTGGTTTTCTGTATTTGACCGATAATTATACAGCACGTACGGGCGCATGTGTCTCGAATAATATGTAAACTTGATCTAAAATATTATTGTGTTGTTGTGAATGTCGACTTGAACAAAATGTTAAGGAACTACTGTTAGCGGTAAAAGAGAGTCAACTAGGAAATAAAATGGACAGACATGATGGAAATAATGGTAAAACAGGATGAACCTATGATACTATTTTTTAAATACAGCCATTGAGACCATCATTATGATAGGTTAGTATTGAAACAGCGAATTAAGGACGCCCTAAGTAACTTGCCGTTAAAACCTTTGAATGAAGGGCTTACTAAGATATCGAAGAAAAAATATGAGGATCTTATATCTTTATGCAAAGGAGAAACTCCAGTTATCCGTATGTCTCAACTGCAACAATTTTATTATTCTCTGCCCCATTTAGGTTGAACTTACTCTAGGATTTACTTTTTGTTTGAACTTATAATATTATGTAGAGGACAAAAAATTTTTATTTTTGAAACAGTGTTTTCCATACTGTGATACCCATGTCCAGTTTTGAACTGTTGGCGTAACTACACAACAAAAGAGTCGTCACGAAGTGGCGTAAATGTACAAAAAAATGTTTAAGCTCTTACGTGCGGAGGCTGACGAAATGCAGATATATCACTCCAAACATTATAGGGATAATGATGATTCTGTCGAAGTATTGTCCATCTAGCGGCAAGACTCGACTTGACTAAACAAGTGTCGAATCTAGACAACTGTTAGAAAACTAGGTTTTTTTGAAACCTTTATTAGTTTGTCATCCCTACCGTTTTATCTGAAGGTCTAGATATGCCACTGGAATAGAGATTTTCCATTTCAATTGATTTTAGGACCATTTTGTTGCAATTTTTACAAACTGTGAATGACTGTACACTCGTAAAAACAAAAGCTATATCCTAAACTTCACAAAATTTGAAAGCTTGCAACTAGACGTAATGTATAATAAAGGTGTACGAACTTTTCATAATCCCAACCAACAATACCAAAGCCATCAGAAAAAAACATGAAAAGCACCGGCCGATAGCATGGAAAGCATTTCAAATAAGAGAGCTTTTATAGTCGCTCCATTCTCGGTTGGCCGTGAAAAAGACACAATCGATCTTCCACTTATTGCCTCATCATGATGGTCGAGATATACGGTGGGGCAAATTGCTAGAGTTTTACTGGTTGCATACTTCAGAGTATATTCAACCGTCCAACTCGCAGAATGGCGAATAAAGGTCTTTGCCCACTGTGTCGTATCACAATATGATCGTGTCTAGCACTAGAGTTGAAGGGGTCGATTCCGATCATTACAATGTCGATTTCGATCTAGACTCCTAAAAAACGTCAAAAAAACAGAAGAAAATGTCATCTTGCAGACTAGGTCTGGGTAGTTTTTGTGTGCTAAGTTCACATGTTATAGAAAAACGTTTGAAATCTCAAAAAAAAAACGACATGTCACTTTTTAAGAATCGTAACACCCGTGCGGCTTCGGGCTTTGCGACATCAGCGTTTAACACCAGATTGTATTTGGCTGAACTATTTGAAAGGAATGATATCGCTTTTATTCGAATATTGCCGCGCTAACGCTTTTAATTCCAGGAAAACCAGTAATTGTGATGTGGAATTTGGAGTGTGGACGCTTTTGGCATCCGTGTTCAATTGTAAGTTTACTGTTAAATTTATCGCAGAAAGTCAGTGGCTTTTGTTCTTCAATGAGCCTGTCTCATCGTTGGTTGGCTATATCACCATTCCATCCATTCCATTTTTCTTTAGATCAACTTACATGGCATGAGTTATATTGCTAATATAATCTTTTTAGAACTTACTGTAAACGGAACGTAATATTCCCGTGTTTGAGCAGCTGTTTTGATAGAAGCTTCAAAGTGTTGGAATCTTGTCACAGAATTGGCTCTGTCTTTACATAAAAGCAATGTGATGCTACTTTGCCAGTGAGACAATACGTCTTTATTCGGTGAATAAAAAAAACCCTTCAAAGCTTCGTAGAATAATGGAGCTTTATGTTTAGTGATGTCACCACTTACAACATAACCATTTTCAGTGACATTAGAAGTGTTACACCCAGAAAAAATAATTTCTTCAACATGTTTTTTTTAACGTTGTATCTTTGTTTTTGTTTACCTTTCTTAAAATGTTATCGCTTAGTTTCTGTCAAGAAAGCAGTTTCTGAGAGCTGAGTAGTACAGATATTTTTAGTTATTGCCCTTTCATTTACTAGTGCTAAAACATAACAAAAAGCCTCGAGTTCGAAGACGTCCAGATTATCACATGTTAGCGACTTTGGTAAGGGTAGAATTATTTCCTATCGAGATGTTCTTTTGTCCTATCGCGAAATTGGCCGTCGTAATGCTTGTGTGTCGTTTGTGGATAGACGAAGGTAGAGGAACACGAAGAAGGCCAACTGGTCCACCGAGGTGTACCACAGAGCGTCAAGATAGGCGCTTCAGACATTTTTTCATCCCGTCCACGGTTAGTCCTTCCTCTGACTGCGGACCACTGTCGTCAACTGGAGCAGGGAATGGCAACACTGGGAGGCATAATGGTATAATGTCATCTTCAGCGACTAATCGCGTGTCTGCCTAGGTACGCAAGATGGTCGTAGAAGGGTAAGACGCCGCCGTGGAGAACGACGTGATATTGGATTTGCTGTTGAGAGGCATGTATACATCACTGATGGAGTAATGGGGCTATTGCCTATGGTAGCCGATCACACCATCTCTTTGTTCTAGGCAACATGATTGCTACGCGTCATGTTGATGATGTCCTACAAACCACTTCACTGCCGAATGTAGAAGGCCATCCACACGTCCTTTTCCAGCAAGACAACGCACGTCTCCATATTGCTAGTCGTATTACGGACTTTTTTAAGATGTAGGCGTTAGTGTTTTACCGGATTTAAATACCATCAAATATGTGTGGGATATTATTAATTTTTTTCTTATTGTCAATAAAATTTCGTGCGAATATCGTTTCATTCTTGATGCACGACACCTCATTGCCAAAAAATCAAGAAATTATTTTCTCTGGGTGTAAGACTTCTAATGTCACTGAGTATATTTTACAGAAATTTTGGTGGTTATATTACTAACGAGTGCTTCTGTGTACATAGGAAATATTTCAATATAAGCGGTTATCTCCACTGACAATGAAATAGGGTCTGAGTTACGTTTAATGATTAGTGATAATATACTTCCCATCAGCCAGGACGTGCCCAGCGGCTGCTGCGTATTGTTACTCTGATATACCTTATCTTCTTAAAACATTGGTCAGTTTGAAAAGTGAATAATGTATTTATCTACCAGAAACATGCGCAACCTAATATTGATAATAATATTATTATATGACTAATTGGCTCTGACTAAGTTCTATTCGCCGATTTATTACCTGGTAGTGTTAATAATTGTTTCAATAGGAAACCATGATACATACTAAGCGTGCAAAGGTTAATAAACAGTTATGTTACCTGTGAGAATCATTTTGTTATTTTGATAAAAATTGCATTGAACAATGAATAATCTGATAAATCGGTAATCGGCATTAAGGAGTGAGGAAACCCAACTGTATCTACATAATACACAGTAAGTGCTTTGATTATAGCGAATAACCTCAATATTATCCCTATTAAAGTTACAGTAAGAATAATGACGATTCTCGTAAATAACTTTTGCTACATATTTATGTGTGTATCGTGGGCTTTTATGATAAAAAAAAATTTCAAGCTAAACGTTTCATTGTCGGTTTCACCATACTTTTTTATACTCAATCTGCACAGTGGCAATGAAAACAAAATATGTGTTGATGGGAGAACATTTATTTAAACAGAACTTCATATCTTTCTGTCAATAATTTCAGTTATACTTGGAAGAAATAATTGGGTCACAATGATGGGAGACATGATCTCCCAGACGTGATATAAATTTTTTCAAAGCAAGTTAGTGATATATCTGGTTTGAGGTTTAGTCATGTTTATGCTATTACGTTGACGTGCTTTGAACATTTTGACGAGAAAAGTCAATAAATATCTAGGACTGCCTTCTAGACAAGGATATGATAAATAGTTAATTCTCCTCTAAGGTGGCATCAGTGAAGTGACTTAATAAATAATGTATCTAGTACAGCTTCTAAATTATTTGGATTATTGTATTTTATCACTTCTTCGACCATACAACCTGAATGATAAAAGCGAAGTATACAGACTAGAGAGTAAGTATTTATTGAGCTATTTTTTAAGTTTTGCAAATTATGTCGCAAAATGCTAAACATAAACATATGAATTTCGCAAAAATAACTATGTAATTAATATACGATGTGAAACAAAGATTTAATTAAGCAGCAAACTGGGAAACATTGGCGAGGCAAAGGTAAAAATAGACAATAAAATAGCTTGAATCTTTAATCTGATGCTCCCGTATTTTTCTGTTTGAATAACCAACCTTTGAAGTCTTCTATAATTTCAAAACCTAGAATATTTGTTTTAAACAGCTAGCAAAGATATGGCAAGATCGTTATTGCTCATACAAATAAAAATCAGGTATGTGTCATCCAGATTTATACATGTAAATATATCAGAAATGCACAGAATAAATTATTAAAAGGTTAAAGTTATTGCACGCGTTAACCGTATTGATAAATACGAACTGATAAATTTGTAACACAAAAATCATGTCAAGATGAAAACTATAAAGCTGATTAAGAGAAATGCAGGCTTGCTTTACTGTAACATGTTGTGTCAGTTATAAAACAAAGTAACAGGGTGTGTTATATATCGTATCTTATTACACTCCATGGAGTACTGAAGAAAAATAAATGTCTCTCGAATTTAAATAGGCCAGTATTCATTCTACACTATGTCTGGTAATGAGAGTGGTAATAGGTATGTATTTTCAGTTAAAGCTCCTATGACATACACCATGCAAAATGTATAACTGTTTGAGTTACATCATACATTTCAGCCCCTGCGATTCACTTCTAGTAGAGGTCGGTATATTAATGACATGTTCCGATTTTAGATCATAGTATTTTGGCCATTAGATAGGCATATTGTGGACATCAGAAGTAATTCAATGTAGCAAAGTTGGTACAGTGAACTTACAAACAATTGGCAAGGCATATTTCTTAGAGAGAACATTTCAAAAGTCCATTTTTTAAACTAAAAAGTGAGGGTAGATCAAAAAATAGAAGCAAAGATGCGATATTGATGGAAATAACGAAACAAGTACTTTTGACAAAATAGAAATGATGCCAAGCATAACATGACAAGCGACGTAACAAAGAGTTGAAGATTTATTTCATTTTGAATTAAAAGCTCAAAGACAGGCAGCTGAACTTTCAACATATTGTATACATATCTGGACCTTGAAACTATCAGTAAGAAATTAACATCAGTGTACCTTATGATATACTATTAGTTATAAAATTGAACGCTTATACTAGGAAATAAAGTAGATCAAGAAATAGAACAATACTATAATACAGACATATCAACGTAGTAAACATATAAAATAGAAAGCTTGACAGGAATGAAGATTACTCTTTGAGATGTAGGTACCTCAAAGACAGGCAGCTTCAAACATTCAATACATTAAGATCAGTAATACGGAAGTAATGTTTTTATAATCACAGAACGTAGTAGTATTATCACAATAAGACAATTGTTTATAAACATACACGCAGGTAACCAAATCTTCTACTGGTTAATGTATGAATGAAGATAAGCTGGGAGGAGATAGGTAATTTAGTAATCCGAGCTTGATTGAGTAGGAATCGAACGGTGGAGTTGAAAGAGTTCGCAGGGTAAATTTCCTGATTTCTGTTGAAATACCTGATTCTATTGTTGTTCGGGGAAAGGTAACTTTCGATACAAAGTTCCAGTTACATTTTTTTTTAAAATAAATATTTGAAAGTAGTCAAACAAAATAAAAAATACCTGTTTGTGGGCTAACCGCTAATGTAACCGACGTCATCGCGTACGTCTTTGGGTATCAATGTATGAGGAGGAGGAAGCAGTGTCGTAACATAAAAGCACGTGCAACAAATCACTTTCAGACACAAGAAGCATCAGCGGCAGCATAATAACTACTCACGTTGGCAGGTGTTCCAGACATTTGCTAAACTCCACAGTCGGTACGAGTAGCTGTCGTAGCTCTCGAACATGCTCTCGCCCCGCGCGACCATATCAAACTGGCGATCGCTACCACCGCGCTTCGCAACTCAACTGCCGCGACTGTTTTGATCATCTCGCGTCTCTGTCTCTCGCTCGGCTCTATCCCCCCACCACCGAAAGAGCAGCGCACGCTCCCAAGACCGCGGCTCTACCTACGCTGACGTCGGGATACGCGACGCCGCCTCTGACTCATACGTCACGGCCAACCTGGATTACACTCATCTCGCGACGCCGGAGGAGATGATACGCGACTTGTGCTGCCACCACTTCGACGTCGGCTTGGGAAACTACGTTATGCTTGGTCCTTCGAGCCGAATTCACTCAAATTATGCGAAAATTGGCCCGTTAAAAAGTTATGGAGATTTATTTTGTCCTATTTGATATTAGAGCCTTGGTCCATCAAGCCCGTTAATTGAAAATTTGACAAAACTTATCCGGATTAAAATCATAGACGTAATTATTTGTATCATAATTGATATCAGTAAGAGTTCGATCCGGATTTTTGATGTATGGACAAAAAGTTGAAAAATTTACACAGATTTATTTTATATTATAAATGTCGTTTGAGCCGGATTTTTGGAAATTTGACGAGGATGAAAGTTTTAAACATATTTGTTTTGCCCTATTTGATATTAGAAAGAGCTTTGGTCCTAGACTCGGATTGTGAACATTTTACGGAACGGAGACCAATGGAGATATTTACCATGACTTGTCATAGTTAATTTTAAACAGAATCTGGATTAGCGAAATATAATCTAAACTAACCAATTAAAATTTTCAGATAGAAATTTGGCACCATTCAGGTATTACGTAAGCACTAAAGAGGAGCGGGAGGTCTTCGTTGTGCTTATTTTTAATGACATCGGGGATGGAATTGGTGACTTCGTTGGCAATATTTACTTTTTTACTGGATTAGAACTTCAATTATAAATGTTCCTGGTAGAAATGCGTATAACCAAATAAAGTACAGAATGGCTCTTCTTAGTCAAGAATTAGTCTTATTAGATGAAAATACCCCCGGTTTGCGAAATAATTGTTACGTCTGGTTTTATTGCTGCAAGTAGTTCAAGGGGGTATTCAAAATATGGACGCATAAAATGGGTACACCAATTTTTGTGGGAAAACTTTATTCGACAACAAAGAATGAGGAAACGTGTTTTTTAGGATTAAATCCAAAGTGTAGGGGGATACGAAGAAACTTTTGATATAAGATTTTTAGGTATTTATAAGACCTACAAAATGGCATCACACGTAAAAAGATCCGACAAATAGCAAACAAGTTATGGTCGAAAACCGAGACAAACTGCAGGTTTTGGCACTTGTTAGTAATGCGACGATGTTTTCTCGCAAATATTTGAAATTCTTCAAATTCGTAGGATTCGTACTTCTCAATAACCACAACAAAATTGGAGTAGATTGGGCACGTAGTTTTTGAGAACTTCTAATTATTTTTCCCAAAACACCTATTTTCCGACGATGTCTACTAGTTTATTGAGCAATAGACAGGGTTAGTTCAAAGAACCATTCCGAAAGATAAATGTTATTTTTATGCAAAAAATGATGGGTTACGTTTTTCTTCTAAACAAATTCAAACATTTCGTATTTGTGAGTAATTCGCAACAAAAGACGATAGACACATCCGCTTTATTTTAAAATATGTATAGTAACGTATGTTTCTCGAATACCGAAGCGCACTTGTTCAATTACTCAAAAATACGAAATGTTTGAATTTATTTAGAAGAAAAAACGTAACCTTAGTTTTTCGCATAAACATAACATTCATCTTTCGGAATGGTTTGTGATTCATATCGGTAAGGCAAACACGTGTATTTTGCTATTAGATGCTATTTGAACGAACCCTGTATATTGCTCAATAAACTAGTAGTGGTGGCCGGAAAACATGTTTTGGGATAAACAATCAGAAATTCTCAAAAAAAAAACTACTTGACCAGTATAATCCAATTTTGTTGTTGTTATTTGGAGTATGAATCCTACGGATTTGAAGAATTTCAAGTACCTAGTTGCGTGAAATTATCGTCGTATTACTAACAAGTGTCAAAACCTGCATTTTGCCTCTTTTTTCGGCCATAACATTTTTGCTGTTAGTCGGATCTTTTTACGTATGGTCTCATTTGGTAAGTCTCATAAATACCTAAAAATCTTATATGAAAAGTTTTTTCGTTCCTGCCAACACTTTCGATTGAATCTCAAAAAACACGTTTTCTCATTCTTTGTTGTCAAATAAGAAGTTTAAACACAAAAATTGGTGTACCCATTTTATGCGTCCATATTTTGAATACACCTTTGAACAACTTGCATCAATAAAACCAGACTTTACAATTATGTCGGGGAAATTTGCTAATATAATTAGTCTAAACTGGTTGAGTCTCATTCGGATAAACCTGGAGTTAAAATTAATGATCATTTTGAAAGATCCAGTTTTAAGCTTTTCGGAAATGTATTAGCAGTGGTATTGATGGTTATTATGTTACTTCAAAGTGTGCTGGGTCGGGTAAGCCAGATCTCTTTGATTTTCAATGCATTATATGGGATACAGAACATGTGCTTGGAAAACAATACTTGCTTCCTAATTTGAATCCATTAAGACCTTCTGTGGTCCTAAATTACTGAAAGTAATATACCTAATAAACTCCACAATCTAGTGATAACTGCCTAGAATCAAACATATGTTGCTTGTTTACATAAATACGTACGTTACTGTACACCAGCATATTCACACCACTGTGTTCACACCACGGAAAACCTCGCACGGAGGTAGGCGACAGGTATAGTATTAAAGAGATAATGATGACCATTGGTATGTTCCCAAGTGTCCTTGAAGCATTCAACTTTTCTCGGCCTGGGCACATTGTATGCTGTCATTCCAAGCACAGAGGAGGTATCTGTAACTTTCAGACATATTTGATTTTTGGTATGCAGTGAATCGCTAGGATTTTCCCTACTCATTTTAAATTTTTTTTAGAGGAAACAAATAGATTTCTTAAAATCCTATAATTTTTGGCCGTGTCATGTTTTATTAAGGTATATGGGTTGTAAGTGACAAACAAGTTATAGATACGACTTCTTCGCATAGCATCGTATACATACAGCCTTAGCCTTAGCAATATAACCGATGTCACTTTAATGCTTCAGTATAAAAATATGAACACTGCTGTAGATACGATTTTTTTTATTCATGTAAAAGTGGTCACTTTTTTTTTGCTTGAGTATGTTGTCTAGGAGTATTTAACCTCAAACATAACTTACCTGTAACTGTTGCAGCTACCACTCAATCAGTTCATTATGACGAACACCTTTATTTTGCATAGTATTTTAATCAACGATTATTTTTAATTGACTGCACTTGCGTAAGCTGATTATATGATATTTTCATGAAATTCAGTTATCTTTATATAAAGATTCAAAGCCTGTGAATATGAAGTAACCGTTTCTGGGCATTAAGTGAGCGAAATACGTAGGTCCAAACTTCAGAGTATGGCAATATAGGTACTGATAGGCTCATACTACAATTTCTCGGATAAAAGTTATGCTATACGCTATTCCGGCTGACCTTTTAGAAAACTCTGACTGAAACTTGTAATCACTCCATATTAGACTTTTCTTTCATCATCAGCATATTTTTCAGGAACCCGGTCATTGCTTGTGCAAGTACAAACTCTCTGAACTGATACCGTTCAGATTGGAAAAGAGATCATGTGTTGTCAATATTAATGTGTCATGTAGCTGAACTGTGTATTTGGAATGTTATCATCAAGATATTTGATCTACATTTCTGTGCCTTAGAGGTATATAGTTGTAACTCCTTATAATGCAATTCAGAGAACAAGCAAATTAAAGATTGAGTTAGTAGCAGAATGGCTTTTTGTTCATGTTAATGTTAATATGCGAACACAGTTTTTTGGGAAAACATATTATATGGTACACAGAACAGTAATGCTCCGGATGATCTTATAAGTTGCTGCCAGTCCCATGACGTACATATTTTCATGGTTGGTTGTTTATTTATAACTCGTTCGATAAGTGCATGGATATGATCAGCTTCCATGTGTGTGTGTCCACGTAAAAGAAACTTGTGTATGACACACTTTAATGAAGGACTTATTATTTGTAATATGTAAAAGTAGTTCACGATCATCATAATGTTCCTGTTTTGGCTCGGACACCTATAATATCCATTGTTTTGTACTTACTAGATTCTCGAGAAGCGATTTCCTCCTCCAGTACAAGCTGCACTAATTTTTGAGCCCTTGAGGACATTATTACCGTTTTTTGGTTACTTTAGCACCTTGTTCAACTTTGAAGATTGATTGAACAACACAGTTTGTAAAGCAACAGGTGCGCGACGGAGACACGACTGTTTAACGCTGCATAGCGATTATTCATATGACAGTATTGTGCATATGGAGAAGCGACTGCAACAAAAAATCAGTAGCTGCTTGTTCTGTTTCATAAATTTCATGATTCTCGTGGTTAGGCGCTACGATCATTTACTCTACGTAAAGATTAACCAGGGATACTAATTATACGCAGACATACACAAAAACTGCAAAAATGGAGTTACGATTTACCTCTAAGGCACAGATTTACTATTTCTATCTATTTTGTTGAAAAATAAGTGCCGTTCAAAAATTATATATATGTATATGTTTATCTATTTAAGAAATTTCCCGGAATGGGTACTTCAATCTCAGTTTTCAAAATTTCATATTATTGCCGAAAAAATTTATCCTTATCTTTAGTACCTTCAGAATCAGGGTTGCAGTAACTAATTAAGTGGTTGTAGGGGATTGATCGAAAATAATTAGAAAGACATTTTTACTGTCTGCTCAAGAATTTTTGTGTTCTCAAATGTGTTACAAAAAATGTCTGGAATAGATCTGGAAAATAAGGTGATGTTGAGTAAACAGTAAAAGTACCTGTACCAAATGGCGCATATAAAGCCTCTTCTTCCAACTCGAAATTCTGAGGGTCGCAACCTTCTCTGTGAATACGATAAATATTATGGATGACATTTTTACGTATAGGATGCGATTTTAAAATGTACATCATA